ATGACTGCAATCTCAAAAGTTAGGGTACCCCACATTTCTTTAATTACTCAGAAGAGAGTTAAGATCAACAAAGCTAAGCTCATCTTCTCTAGCCTTTCTGGAGACTGCAAGACATGTCTACTAGGGTGGTAGTATTGCCCTTAAAGAAACATGCTGTAATCCTTTACCGAAAAAAAAAAAAAAGAAAGTATCATGTGATTCTAGGTTATCAATGTTTGGGGACTAATTTTTCCGAAAAACCTAAACTTGCATTAGTCTACTTCTGATTACAAAATTAATCACTATTTGATAAACAGATAAATGTATCTTTTAAAACAAAAAATACATACACAAATTGTGAAATGGTTATAAAAATTTCCATGTAGAAATTCAACATTTTTGCCTTTTTTCCAAAAATAATTAAAAATGCAGTCATAAGAAAGAAATGATTAAAATATACTTTAATTCGTATTATTTCAAGCAAAACAAAAGGGCTTTTAATAAAGAGAAAATAAAAATGAACACTAAACAGTTATTAAGAAACTGAAACTGGCAGAGCAAATAACAGTTACCATGATTCATGAAGGGTTCATGATCTGTTTATTTTGCATGGTAAATAACTTACCAAGTTGGTAAGCATCAAGTTTTAGAGTTATCTTTTGCGGGAGCGCGCATACGCACACACGCACACATACACACGCCTACAAAGCTTTGCCAACACAAATAATTTGTACCAAATCAAGAAGCATAATGAAAAATAAATACATTGCTATTATATAAGCCCAAAAAGGCTTTTCCTATAGTCAGAGAGGGAGTTATCAATTCAAGGAGCCTTTCTACAATGAATAAATTATCCTCACTAGATTTCAATCCAGTGAGGGTTTTATGAGAATCCTATGAAATTAGCTGGCATAGCTTTTAGATAAAATGAAATTACTGGAGTTCACAAAGAGTCAAAAAGAAAAATATTCACAAGGTAGGAACTTACCACAATAGACAATAGTAAAAGTAGGGAGTAGGGTCAGCAACCAGGGGCAAGAGAAGAGAAAACAGAAAGCATTTTAATTAGGGAAATTTCAAAACAAATAAGCAGCAAATGGTAGCAAACACATTTTTAAAATGCAAGCATCCATTAAAGTTTTACAAGGGAAAAGCAAAATACAAGCGTGCAACAAATTTAGAAGCTACAAAGCTAAAGGTCCAGTAAAAGATAGTGACACCAATACAAATAAGAAAATAAAGTCTGTGCAACTTTTACCATGCAATACACATGATGACAGAATGATATTAATGTCATACCAGTGAAAAGTATACCTTTCAGGGGTCGATTTAGCATCAAGCAGACTAATAATAAACTGCTCAGAGGTTTCAATATATTCTTTTATGCCTAATTCTCAGCTAATTCCATTTCATGTTAGGAAATCCATAAGGAACGTTTTCACTCATAGGAAATTGTGGCAAGTCTCTTTAGAAATATCTTCATTGGGCCATAGAAACAAGTGCTTAGATATTAATAATGTCACACATTTAATCTGGAGAATTAAGATAGATATAAAAGTACTGGCTTCATCGGAAGAAAAGCAAAAGGTGGGTACTAACTCAGAAATGGAAGAAAACTCAATACCAAAAACAAAACAAAACAAAACAAAAAACCAAACCCATTGCCACTGAGTCGATTCCAACTCACAGCGATCCTATAGGACAGAGCAGAACTGCCCCCAAAGGGTTTCCAAGGAGCAGCTGGTGGATTCGAACAGCTGACTTTTTTGGTTAGCAGCCTAGCTCTTAACCACTGCACCACCAGGGCTCCTATTCCTAAGCTTTTCTCTTTGGGACCCCAAATAAGGATTTCAATGAAAACCAGATAGAGAAAGCCTAAGGTGTTTAATCACGATAAGCCTAACTGAAAAGTGAGAGGCAAAGCAGACAACTTCACAAATATACCTAGCTTTAAACAAACCTGATTTATTAACAACCTTGCTTTACCTCATTAAAATAAGGCATGTTTTATACAATTCTTTCCCCTTACAGAAAAATTTAAAATAATAGTAATCTACTGGTATTTTTCAAATAAGATTTAATTTATATAGAACTTTTCCAGAGCCTACTACATAAAAGAAAGCACACACAGTCTTCATTAAACTACAGTATATTTTAAAAACTGTCATAATACGAAGTTAAATTAAATTTCAAATTCTCTGAAGTTCTTCACGCCCTCCCCCAACAAAATTTAAATGACAAGAGTGAACTTCTTTTTTTCTTAGCAGTGCTTATACTCAAGGTAAAGTAAAGTAAATGCAAATTAACACAGTATTTTATCAATTCTAAGATGCACAATTTTGGGCCACATTTTAATATCTCTGTAATTAGTATTCATCTTTCAGCTAAAATGATGTACTGGTTTAACACACAGGACTTTTTTTCTTTCTTTTTTCTTTTTTTAGAGCTACTTATAATTGTACGTCTTACAACTGATGGCATCTTAGATTAGATGAAGTACAGTATTTTCTATTTGCACCTCTGAGCAATAACACATAAATCGACCTCTGTAAAATGAGGTGAAACAATATGGTTAAAAAAAAGAAATCTGTGTGTAAATGTTGATGAAAGAAAATGCTTTAAAGGATAAAAACAAACTAGAGTGATGACAAAGTGGCTCATTTACCAAAGAATCTCATTAGTGTAACATGTCGATTTCCATGCACTGCCTACAACTTCTTAATAATAAATTTCTTAAAATAACTTACAGTATTTTAACAAAATTTCTTTGGTTAATGAATTCGGTTGATAGCAGATAGCAACAGAATGCCCACAGCTAGCACATGTGGGCAAAGCATTGGCATAAGAAATCTGATCAAATCAGTCTATTAGTGTCTTTAACTAACTAAAACATTACCTACCTCCCAGCCAGTACTCTGTATAATAAAAAGTAAAAAAAGGGCAAGTCATAAAAAAAAAAAAAACTGTTTAAAAAGAACAAAAAAAGGCCAAAGGAAGTTCAGTAGTGTAAGGCACCATATACCACGAATTACTCTCCATGAATAAAAGTTACCAGGATACTTCAAACATGATATTCTTTCATTTAAAACCCATGATTTTATAAATTTTTAATTCCAAATGTAGTACAGGCAGTTCCCGGGTTACAAACGTCTGACTTACGGACAACTCGTACTTAAGAACAGACTGCCATAAAGCCTATTATACTAAAACTTCTGAGTTAAATACAATGGTTCGTAATAACAAATGCCATGTACTACTTTGTGATGCACATGAAAACACTGCGTAGTCTGGAAATGCTTCCTAAGTATTTTATATGCATAGAAAGGTAAAATATATACTATATACTAAGACAAACATTTGACTAACTGATGCTAAATAAGAACCATAGGTACCTGTTCCGACTTACCTACAAATTCCACTTAAAGACAGACTTAGGAATGGATCTTGTTTGTAATCTGAGGACTACCTGTAGCTAAAATTTTGCCATTAAAATGCTTTAATAAGTGTTAATACAAATTTTGAGGAAAGAGCCAGCTGCTTGTTCCACTTCTGTTTCTACATTAGATCTCTAACTAAGACGAACTGCACTTCACTGACCTACCCAGGTTAAATTGGAATACAAATTGCAATTTTGCTCAAGTGCCATTAACACAAATGAATGGAAGTTTCTTAGAAACTAATAGCTCTAGATGTTCCAGATCTTACGTGTATAACTTTTCCATTTAAAGGTATACAGGCTGGATGAGGTTTCTTTGACAGTATACATACAGCTGATTATAAAAAGACCCATCTGTTATGATCATGAAAACTAACAAGTCTTTTGCAACTTCAATATTTTAGTGGATGAAAATAAAATTCTGGCTTAACACTATAGTAATCCTATTTTAAGATTGTTGAAGTTTTCCAGATTATATCAATTCTTGTAGAACAAACTTAGCCCACGGCAAGAAAAACCCATCACCTGTTGCCGTGGAGTTGATTCTGACTCATAGCAACCCTACAAGACAGAGTAGAACTGCCCCATACAGTTTCCAAGGAGCACCTGGTGGATTCGAACTGCTGACCCTTTGGTTAGCAACCGTAGCTCTTAACCACTACGCCACCAATGAATCCATGGCAAGAAAGGGGAAGTCAAGTTGAGAGACAATAAAGTAGGACTAATAGTGAATACGGAGATGGATAATCAGTACTCCACCTCCTTCTTAGATAACGGCAGCAGGAGCACAGGGAAGGGGATAGTAGAGAAAGAGAAGGCTCAACAGGATATTTCAGAGTATTTCGATGGAGTCAAGGATCTAGTTTCAGGGAAATCAATTGCTAATAACCTGCTTCATTTTTAAACCAGTTTGATTTCATTGTAATTTTGATGATAATATGCGGATTCCATAATGAACTATAAAAATCAAGTAAGCACTGAGATCATATCATTATAATCAAATATACGGAGGCAACCTTTTTATTCATTATTTTCACTAGATGTTTTTTCATATTAAATATATATCAAAGGACAACTGAATGCAAACACCTATGAAAAACAGTTAAAATTCAGTTGAATTCATTAAAAATATTAGTTTATAAACTTTCATATCATTTAATAAAAAGTTAACTTAAATATTAAAACTTTGGGGCAGCAAAAGAATAGAAATTAATTTAAAAATCAGAGTCAGAATTATAACTAACGCTGTGAAACAAAAAAATAACTTACAATTTTTTAAAATTTACTAACTACAAGGTTACTATGAGCTGGAATTGACTCAATGGCAGTGGGTTTTGGTAGTCATTTTTAAAAAGGGGCAGGGGAGCGGGAGGCTATGTGGGAAGTTTATGATGATCATAATTTACCATAAGTAGATCCATTTTTTATTAATCAGCCTTGCTTTGGCCATAAATCATCATTCTGACATTGCTTATCTGTAACCTGATTAAAATGGTCATCTCATAGTTTGACATCAATAAAAGCAACATTCATGCTTTTAGAGTTTTTTTCCATTTATACTGAAGCTATAAATTGGAATCATTACCTGATGAACAATTTTGCTGAATGCTTCTTGAAGTTTACCATGAATCGTTGATAGTTTCTTTGCATCCCGATTAGCTTCATGAATAGGAATCAGTACTTTGTAAACCTCGTTAACTGCTTCATACATGCCAGCCTATAAGAATAGTTTTTATAAGACGTTGCTTTGTTTTGTATCAGTAAGAAAGTAAAATAATTACAATTTATAAATTCACAATATTTCTCCTAAGACAATACTACTGAAGCTTTTCCAATAGGACAAAAAATAAATAAAATGTGGCAACACTAACAATTTTTAATTTATTAAGCCTTAACAAAAAAGTTTGCATAACGTATTGTTCTCTGTATGGATGGATGTGTGTGTGTGTGTACATACTTATGTACGTATATAAATTTTTACAGAGACCAATTCTAAGCAGAGGAATAAAAGAAATCCAATTATTACAATAGTCATAAATACCCACACTACTATAATTAGATATAACCTGTGGCCTCCTAGGAAACCAAAATCATTTACTTTTCTGAACTAATAAATTGGTACAGACATTCCTCAACTTATGAAATCTCCTGTGGAAAAATCACTGATCTTTATCTAACCATGAGGAGGTTTTGAGTTGGCCAATGGTTGTTGTGGACCAGATGTGTTTGTATTACTGCTGCATTCCCTTATTCTTAATAATGGAGAGGGATGTAGTGAGGGAAGAAAAAGATGTTTTCCAGAAGTCATGGAGTTCTCATTGCCTCACAAATTAGCAAACATATTTTCCCAAGGAAGCCACCATATGGTCCTTTTATTTCCCAGTCAGGTCACAGAAATAAATTTAAGCCATAATGTAGCTGCAATAGTGAAATATACTTAGTGTAACTAAAAGGCCCCAGTAATTATTTTCATTAACATTAAATAGATTAATTGAAAAATAATGCAATCCACAATTATAAACCACCAGTTGCCATCGAGTCAACTCCGACATGGTGACCTCATGTGTGTCAGAGTAGAACTGTGTTCCATATGGTTTTTAACGGTTGATTTTTTTGGAAGTAGCTTGCTAGGACTTTTTTCCAAGACTCCTCTGGGTGGACGTGAACCACCAAGCTTTCAGTTAGCAGCTAAGTGCATTCTATAATATAGAATAGTGTCTCCCAATGTAAATTCACCACTCTGAATTGTCAAAATTATACACATTAACATAAACTGTACGTTTATTAAAATATTCCATAAACAGCAAAAAAGGTATTTTCTCCTGTTAGTTCAGACAAGTTAAGTTAAAACTCGAGCAGGAATCTAGGGGAGAAACTGGGAGAGTCAAGGTCCTGAGAGGCAAGAAACTTTAAAGAGTACCAATATCTAACATTTTAAGTCTAGAAAAAAACACGTTTAGGGCCTCAGAATCATGACATTTAAATGGGCTGGTTCTAAGTGACAACAATGATGAAGATGATGGAAAAAACACACAGCACATACTTGAAGTCAGGCACTGTGATAAGCACTTTTTATATATTAACTCATTTAATTCTGACAACAATCCTGGGAGGTAGGTACTATTTCTAGTTACATTTAACAGATCAGAAAAGTTAGGCACCAATAAGTTAAGTAACTTGTGCCCAAAGTGACATAGTTACTACGGTAGCAGAGGCAGGATTTGAACTTTGGCAGTATGGCTTCCAAATCTATGCTGTTAACCAATATACTGCAGGCTAGGGGTAAGACCAGGGGGAAGAAAGAACCCATTTCCAGTAGTAGCACAATGGAGAAGGAGGGCAGCATTGTACATTCCTCAAGCATCCCTCTTATCCTATATGAACCTCAGTGTCTCCTAAACCTGTTGCTGTGACACTAAACATGCATCATAAAAGTTAAAGAAAGGAGGTATCATGGTTCAAGGAGGTAAGCACTGCATATCTTTCCTTCCTCCAATAAACAGCTTGCCTAGGCTCCACCCGACTGCTTCCCTTCATTACATACAGATGAGGAGGGAACAAGGGTTGTGGCATGGTAGAGAAGGTCAGACAAGGGTTCAGGATACAGTTCATTAAGCTCCTGATAGTAAGCTCCAGGCCTCAATACCTACCTAATAGGGTAGATATGCAAGCAATGGGATGAGTGGCCTACCTTTCCTGGGTACCAGGGCAACATACTCAAAAGAAAATCCTCTCTTTCATCCAGTGGACAAGCTCTATTTCTAGAGCCATGTTAGTCTATCCAAACAGGAACCTAAATCACCCAGAGTTTTTCTGTTTTGTTTTTTAACTTAAAAGTTTTAGAAAATGTTTGGTGGTAAAATTTTGTGAACCAAAAAAATACCTGTTGCAGATAAGTGCTATTCAATAAACAAGTAAATCAGAAATACTGGGGGACGTGGTAGCTTATTAAGATAAAAAGCTGTAAGAAATGATGAACTTAGAAAGGAACTTAAGGTACTCAGAGAAGTATCTTAATGGCAAAGCAGGGTCATAAGGCACAGAGCATAAATACATCTGTCACTGATAATTCAGAGGTATGAAACTGTGGAAGGAGAATTAACAAGAGTCATCTACCATAGAGAAAGAAGCAGCTGCTTGTTCCAGCAATCCCACAAGTCCTGACTCAGTAAAGTACTTTCCAGAGCAGATACCTTCTTCATCCGGAGAAACCACATCATCTGAGACTGCAGACTCTTCTAAAACATTAGATGAAATATTCTAGGGGAAAAAGTTGAAAAGGTTGTGAAACAGCAATAATCTCCTAGCATGAAAAAATGTATAGGAAGAAGTAACTGAAGATAAATTATGGCTCTCAGTTTAGGTTAAAAAATAATGATAATAATGCTAGTTGATGTAAAAGTAAAAGATGAATCAGCAAATGGCAACAACATTGGCCAGGCAACTTTTCCATTAATAAAAAGTTGCGAGATACTAAGAAAAACAGTGATATGATATAGGATATCAAAGAAGATTTAAGGAGTTTTCTTTCTTTTGATCTACTTATCTTCTCAATGAGGGAAATTAAAGTACAAAAATGGTCTCTTGGCTTGCCTAAAATTATACATAAAGTTAATGGAAAAAAAAAAAAAAACCCAAACAAACAAACAAAAATCTCAGGTATAGTAAAAGTCCTAATGAGCTTGGGATCAGCAATTATTTCTAGAACAGACATGATACACACATACCTTAAATATTTTAACCTAAACATTTATAGTAGCTATTTGTCATTTGTCAATTTTTGAGGTAGGTCTAAGGCCTCTTCCTTGTGTATGGGTAGATCAGAGTTTCATGTAATTTTTCCAGAGTAAATAACCATAACGCAAGCTTTATTTAAGATTTCCAGTCTTGGTTTCTCTAAAACAGAGTGAAAACTTAAATTCCCCTAGATTTTTAGGAGTCTTCTCCGCAGCTTTTCACATTTGCCCTGCCCGAAATTAATTCAACAGCTATCATCTGGAGACTCATAGAGTCTTTGCAAAACATTCAAGAAATTGAATTCAATTCAGTTTCTTGAATGTTTTGCAAAGACTCTATAACTCTATAACAACTCGCTTTCTTTCTGTACTCATAGATTTCATCACTTGACATAATATTTCATTAAATTTTGTAATTTCCCAAACTTGGCATTAATAGCTTTTGGAGAAAAGAATAACTGTTCTAGGCAAGCAAAGAATTCAATTAGTGGGATCAGAGGTATGTGGGTAAATTTACTAGGGAGCAATCGATCATCTGTTGAGTCATGGTGTTAGTATATTTTATACGGGGAATGGAGAATGTTGGTTTATCTGGTGTGCGGATTAAGTCAAAGCCAATTAAGAGTCTCTATTGTATTCTGATTCTCAGTATTTTGAATGTAATACCTTTTTATAGATGCTATAAAATCCATAACTGATTACGAAGCAGTAATTGCACAGAGAATACTTATACATGGCACTGATAATTCAGAGGTATGAAACTTGAAAGAGAATTAACAAGGAGTACTCTTTAAAATTTTATTAACAATAGTGAAATGTTAATTAATCTTGTGAAATATCACCTGAAGTCTTTGTTTTCCTTACAATTGAATGAATCTAACCCACCAGTGAGAAAAAGTCAAAACCAAAAAAGAACATACCTTGATTAAATGTACATCTGGCAGATTCCTACCTGAAAGGTTACACATCCCACAGGAAGATATTTCCGGTCTTCCAGCATGCTCAAATATTCAGCAACAAGGGCTGCTGAGTGGACTAGACACTGTGCAGCTTCAGCATGATTGCTTCGTTCAGAATGTTTGCCAGCCATGTTCTGCAACCAGGTCAACCGCAGATCTGGCGAGGTCTGGTAGCCTTTGGCAATTCTAATTAGAACAGAAATTTTTCTCAATTAAAGCATTTGGCTGCTAACCAAAAGTTTGGCAGTTCGAATCCACCACCCGCTCCTTGGAAACCCTGTGGGGCAGTTCTACTCTGTCCTATAGGGTCGCTATAAGTCAGAACTGACTCGATGGCAATGGGTTTGGTTTTTTTGGTTTTCCCAAGCTGACAGGGAGTTTAGATAGCTTGCTCAGTGTTTAACCAGAAAGGTTTATTGCATATAAACTATTAAGGCAAGTTTCTGAGTGGTATGAAAATGTCTTTGAGTATGCCTAGAGAAATAATAGTAGGCCCATCGAATAGATAGTATCAGTTTTGAAAAAGCAAACAATAAAAACAAGCTAAAAAGAGACATGCAATATTAAACTCTGACCACTAAGGAAACAGTCAGGGAAAAACTATGGGAATTTCTGTTTTCATCATGAAAATACAGAGAAGTTTTATACTAAAGGAAAAAAAGGGAGACTTACAAAAAGATAGATTTATCAGATAATCTTTATTATAAAGAGAACAAATTGTTTCACTTATGCTTTTAATGAGCCCCAAAATTGTGAAAACAGAGTCATATGGCAAAGAATAATTATCAAGTTTTACTTACACCTGTCAAGGAACAAAAGGAATTAGATTTCTCAATATCTAAAACCATTATCCTCTAGGCATAACTATATTTAAAATCAGGCAAATTAATGTTATGTTAAAACATGAATATACTATATTTTCTTCTTAAAAGACTGATTTTTACATTTAAAATATGGTCTTGTGGCCCTTGTAATAACTCTGGAGCCCAGGAAGCCAGAGTTTAAATATGTGTTATGATTTTTAAAAATCCTCTTGTTTTTGATAATTAGTAAATATATTGAATAGTTTATGCATAATTCTTAAAAGAAGTAGCACAGAGGATCTGGAAAAGCAGTCTGGGAAAAGTATATTTTGATGTTTCAATGTTGCATTAGAAAAATCCTTAAATAACTTTTGTGTTTCTATTGTTTTTCATCAAATTTTTCCTTACGTCTTACTATAAGCCCATTATATAAGGTATAAGTGAATAAAACAAATGCTACCTGTACATTAGATCAATCAACATTTCAGGATCCTCCTGGTGCTCCTTCATTTTAACAGTATCAGAAAGAATCATATGGAGATTGAAAACCAAATCTTGGACCTGCAGCAGAGAATTACAGAAAAAAATGTTCTTAAATTGTCTTTCGTTCACAATCACTATATTAATTTGGGAGATATTTCAGATAAGCATCTGAAGTTTTCAAGACAAATAATATGATATTAATACAGTTCTACAAAGCATGAGTATGTTGGGATACAGTAAGTAAAGGGTAGTAAACTCTATATGAATGTCCCAACAGACTATGTTTTCTCAGTTCTCTTATCTGAAAACAAGTAGAACCATAAATAGAAATAAAACACAGGGATATAGGCGATATAAGAAAAGAGCACACAAGAAAAATTTTCTGCTATATTTCTGTTTTACTAAAAGATAGATTGTAGAAACTTTAATTTTTTAAGGCAAATTACTGTGTGATTAATAAGTAGTAATAAGGTTTATCATAAATCTATGTTTGTCTATACTGACAAAGTCTACTGTTCTACTTGTTACAAATGCAAAAAATTAAACACCAAAGATACTAACTATTCCAAGAAGGAAGGATTCCTTATTTAAAAAAAAAAAAGATTCAGTCTTATCTATAGCACAGTATGTGGACTGACAAAGAAATACAGAAACCTCCAATAAAAACCAAAGTTTGATTTAACAATCTGGAAAGTGCCTATTAAGTCTGTTTCAATTAATTATCTAGAAAGTAGCATTTCTGACCTGATCAGGAAATGTTGTTTCCCTCAATTCCAGATCTTCTTCAGCATATGTCAATATAGTCTTTAGAGAACGTCTTAAGAATTCTTCATTAAAATTCTGAGATGTGCCCACCAAGGAGGAAAGTGACATGGTTACCTGCATTTTAACCCTGGCAAAGTTCTGTAACAGAGAAATTGTCAGGTCAATATTTAAAATAAGAAAAACTTAAAGAATATTCAAATCTTATTTTTTAGAGGACGTAAGAATTAGAATTTTGCTGTGAATAATATGCTACTCCCCAAAAAAGCCCTTCTCTTTTCACTTGATATACTCTAAGTGGCTTCATCCATCCTTTGCCTTCATATACATGTCTATGTCTTCAGCTCCTATTTCTCTCTAAAGCTCCAGCTACTATATTTTACTCTCTAGCTCCAACTAGATGTCTCATGCTGTTGTTTGTTGCCATCCAGTCACCTCCGACTCACAGTGACCTTACATATAACAGAACAAAACGTTGCCTGGTCCTGTGCCATCCTCATGATCACTGGTATGTTTGAGTCTATTGTTGTGGCTACTGTGTCAATCCACCTCATTGAGGGTTTGCCTTGTTTTGACTGAACCTCTACTTTACCAATCATAATGTCCTTTTCTAGAGATTGCTCTTTCCTGATGATGTGTCCCAAGTAAGTGAGCTAAAGTCTTGCCATCTTACTTCTAAAAAGCATTCTGGTTGCATTTCTTCTATGACTGATTTGTTTGTTCTTCTGGCAGTCCATGGTATATTCAATATTCTTCGCCAACACTACAATTCAAATGCATCAATTCTTCTCCTATCTTCCTTTCTCATTGCCCTCTTTTGTATGCATATGAGGTGACTGAAAAGACCCTGGCTTGGGTCAGGGGTACCTTAGTTATCAAAGTGACATCTTTGCTTTTTAGAACTTTAAAGAGGTCTGTTACAACAGATTTTCCCAATGCAATATATTATTTTATTTCTTTACTGCTGCTTCCATGGATGCTGACTACTGATCCACACAGAATGAAATCTCTGACAACTTCAACATTTTTTCTCGATTTTAAGGCACCCATCTGTCAGTTTGTCATACTGTGATGGCTTGCATGTCACTATGATGCTGGAAGCTATACCACTGGTATTTCAAGTACCAGCAGGGTCACCCCTGGTGAACAGGTTTCGGCAGAGCTTCCAGACTAACACAGACTAGGAAGACAGGCCTGGTGATCTATTTCTGAAAATCAGCCACTGAAAACCTTACGGATGTCTCATGGGTATGTCAAATTCAACATGTCAAAAATACCTTATCTTCTCTTCCTATCGATTATCTAAATAAATGGTAACACTATTCGTGCAGTCACTCAGGCCAAAAATCTAGGAGTCATCCCATACTCCTTCTCCTCTCTCATAATTCATACCATGTATCTAACTCATGCCATCCCCTAATCTGTTCCAATCTGCCTTTTCTCATTCCCAGTGCCACTGTCTTACTTTACACACTTATCATTTCTTAGTTGAATTACTGTAATAACTTCCTAATCAATCTCCCTGCCTTTTCTTGTAACCCTCAAGGTATATCTTCCACCTAGCACCCAGGAAATTTTTGTAAAATGTAAATCTGAACACATTGCTCCTCTCCTTAAAATACTCCAATGGCTCTCCATAGCTTTGAGGATAAAATTCAACCCAGTATATTCGTCAAACTATATGGTGGGAACTAAGAGTACAGTGATAAACAAAATAAGTATCTGCCCTCAGACAGCTTACAGTCTAGGCCTTTTCAATTACAACTTCATCTCTCACAGCCATTAACAAACCACCAAGAAGTTTTGTGAAGTGTCTCTCTGTGTTTGCTTATTTTCTTCTCTTTCCTCCATGCCTTTCCAATTATGCATATACTATTTCCTTTCCCTAGAAAGCTCTACACACCTACTTATCCATCTGATTGGATAATTCTTCATCTTTACTTCAAGCATCTCCTCTTTTGAAAATACATCACTGAATACATAAGCTATTCTTCTCTGTGCTATATTTAACTTAATTTTTGCTTAATATGAGAAAATAAGTTTTAACTTAACCAGCTGCTAGATATTCATTTAGATACTGTGGACATTTTTTCATTTCAATACTTGACATAATTAATGATGGGCTGAATAATTTTGCAGAATAATTTATAATAAAATAGAAACTACTTTTACTGAATTTTCAAATCCCAAGTAACACACAAAAGCACTCAGGATCAAACATAAACAGCATCCACAAGGTAGCCAATGACAGACAAAAGGCACAAGCAGACCACCTCTTGCCATGTGACTTCAAGATCAAGCAATAGATTGAAAGTCTTCCCATCACAGCTATCTAGTCACCACAGTTCTATAGCCTGAATTTTGTATACATTTTGTTTATCTTCTATGAACTCAATGTCAATGCTACTCAAGTGATACCCAATAAAATCCAATCAAACCAAAACCTGTTGCTGTCGAGTCGCTTCTGACTCATAGCAACCCTATCGGACAGAGTAGAACTGCCTTCCACAGGGTTTCCAAGGAGTGGCTGGTGGATTCGAACTGCCAACCTTTTGGTTAGCAGCCATAGCTCTTAACCACTGTGCCACCAGGGCTCTGTAAAACCCAAAAGGAGATATAAATACAAAAAAATGAAATTTTCTCAGATAGGCCTGAGATTTTGTTATACAGAAAGGTATATGGGTCATGTAGGAATCTGCAATCAACTATCCTATCCTGCTTACAGTGCCAATTGTGTAAACCAGTCCAGGGAGACTAAGATCACCACTATTGACACCAAGTTGTGTGGTGGATAACATATCCCATTTGGCACGTGTCGTTTGGAAATCTTAGCTTCTGTTCCCTGGCCAGTTCAGACTTCAGCTGCCCATGCAGTTCTTCTATCTCATCCCTAGTCACCTGGGGCTAGGTCAATGAGTGCCAGCTGCATGACTCCCGGCACTTCAGACCAGCCAGTCCCACTACTCCCTTTAGGTCTAGTAATTCACTAAAATGACTCATAGAGCTCACTGAAACACCATACCTAGTATAACAACTTTAATATAACAGAAAAGGATATAAAGGAAGAAATGCACACAATGAGGCCCTGGGAGGGTTTCCAGTACAAACCCTTGACATCTCAAAGGAACACACGCTTACTTTCCCAAGAACAGATGTTTACTCTCACCAACCAGGAAACTCTTCAGTCAGGAAATGCTCCATGATATCTCTCTTGAGCAGAAATGCTCCGTTGCCTTCTCCCAGCCACCACCACCACCCAGTACAACTCTCAGCCCATGAATAGTTCTTCTCTCAGTCAGGACAGCTCTGCTCTGTCCTCTCTTCTCTCAGTCCTGCCTTCTCAGTGCAGCTCTCAGCTCTGCTCCTATACAGGTCTTAACTGAGTCTGGGAGGGTTTCCAGCGTAGAGCCTCTGTGTCCTAAAGGATGCATTCCCGGCTCTCAACAACCTGGAAGCCCCATCTGAGCCTCTGCGCTCCAGGGCTACTCATAAGCCAGTCCTCATGCTCCTTTGTCAGTTACTGGGCAGGCTACTTGTCAATTACTAGCCAGGGCTCCCTAGCCAGGCCAGGCAAAGGTTGTACTCCTTGTCAATTATTGGGCAGAGCTCCCGAGTCAGACCAGGCAAAAGTAACAAACGCTCAAGAGTCTCAGGAACCAAGACCAAAAGGCCAGACTGCTTTTTGGAAGGTGATTCCATACCACACAGAAGGCCACAAACCATTATAATATCTAAGACTTTTTTCCACATCCCAAGATCTAGGATTTCCCCACTTGGGGGCAATATTGCCCCCATTGAGGATGCATGGCCTAAGAAACAGAGGACCAGGAGTAATACATAAAATTAGAAGGTAATCATTAAAATAAAAATATAAACTCTCCTAAATATGATAAAAACTACACTCAAAAAAAAAAGATAAACAGACAATATAGTGCTAGATGAAAATAACCATAAATTTTTTAAAAAAGGGGTGAGGGGGACAAAACTCAAAAGATATCTGATATAACAAGCATGAACAAGTTTGAGTCAACTTTCAGACTGGATCACAAAGCAAAACTCAATTCTATGTTGTATATGAGAGGAACACCTAAAATAAAATGAATCAAAAAAGTCAAAAATAAAAAAATGAGCAAAGGTAACTGAGCAAGATCAAATTACAAAGAAAGCAGAAGTCAAGAACTTAATATCATACAAGGTGGAATTCAAGCCAAAACAAAGAGTTTCAAATGAAACCAAGAAGTGTCCTTTTTAATTCTAAAGGAGAATAATTCCTAAGAAGATATTATAGTTATAAATATCAATAAACAACATACTAATACTTATGAATATCAAGACATCGTATAAGAGCTTAAGTAAAAATAGATAAACCCACGTGTAGGCTTTAATTCACCTCCCTCAGTCCACCAAGTGGAACAAAAATAATAAAGGATATAGAAAAACTGAATAACATAATTAATAAAATATATTTGTTTGATATATGTTTAACTCAGCAAGCACTCTATTAAAGAATATCCCTTTCTTTTTAAGTGCTTGTGGAACATTCATTAAGAAACTGATCATATGTTTGGACTCACAAACATACGGACACACATACATACACTCCAACAGTACAAAAGAGGAAAAACAAAATACAATCTGAAATTACAAAATTTCTGCAAAACAAGAATACTGAAAATATTACACATCAGAACCAATGAGATATTAAAAGTAGTACTCCAAGGTCAATTCATACCCTAACATACTTATATAAATAATAATAATAATAAAGTGATAAAAATAAATGAATTAAACATGTGATTTAAAAAGTTAAGAAAATACAATATGTGACTATAATAACTGATGAAAAACTTTAAAAAATGGAACTCTTCAAAGACTATGACATAAAATTATAAAGTGGTATCAAACTAAGATATCCAAACCTTTAATTTTCCTTGTTATTACTTTCTTTTTACGTAGGGATGATAATCAAAATCTAAAATATTTCGAAGTACATTTATATTCTAAATCTAGATTACTATATGTTATTTTTAGTACAAGATGAAAAATGAAGAGATTTGAACCTTTGAAGATACCTATAGATTGAGAGCTACCAAGTCTAAGATTAGATTCAAGATAATACAAAAAAATTTCATGCCCCCAAAGAAAACTATTTAACATATATCTGCAGAAATTATATTGCATCATGAATCCAGAGAGTCAAACTCATTATAAAATACTTACATTTCCAATCTCGAAGTTCTGTCTCATTAGTAGGTAAAGTGAGGCACTGGCATGTGACCGTATCGTACTGATACTACTGCTACAGTGTCGGAGAAGCCGGAGACATAAATCAGCACATTGTTCTGTCTCTTCCTCAAACAAGAGTTCAGGGAACTGTAAAGAAATAACACCAACATTGAATTTGTATAGTAAAAGTTCCAGAGATGTGTTAATACAACCTGACCTAAAGATTTGTTAGGACAGCCCAGAAATAAAAAGAATGGTTAAACAACAATTTAACTAATGGTTGATAGTATAGCTCACAGAGCCAGACAGTCTGGGTTAAATACTGATTATGCCACTTACTAGCTAGTATGACTGAGCAAGTTTTCTCATCCACAAAATGGGCCTAATATTATCTATATGGGGTTGTCGTGAAGCTTAGATTAGGTAACATGTATAAAACACTTAGTACAGTACTCAACATAAATAAATACAACATGTTTTCTATTATTACAACATAGTATGTAAGTTATTTTCATTGGATAAGTTTAATCAACAGCTCTGCATTCCATCTTATAGGATGATTAAGATGAAATAGTTACCTTCAAGATTTAAAAAACATGTATTTCCAAGGGAAAACAAACATAGGAAGTAAATATTTGAAGCAGTTGAACAAACACAAGTAGCTTTTTTTTTCATTCACTGCAAGGTAAGTTAATTTCAAAGTGATGAACTACTTACATACTGAATTTGTTTTTAAGTTTTATTTTGTTGTTGTTGTCAGAAACATACACAGCAAAACATACACCAATTCGACAATTTCTACATGTACAATTCAGTGACACTGATTATATTCTTCCAGTAGTGCAATCATTCTCACCCTTCTTTGAGTTGTTCAGCCCCCATTAACATAAACTTACTGCCCCCTAGAATTCTTATCTAATCTTTCGAGTTTCTATTGTCAATTTGATCCCATATAGATAGCTAAGTCTTAAAAGAGCATAATACGCAAGGCAGACATTTTTTACTAGTTAAGCTAATCTACTGTTCGGTTTCAAGAAGACTTTAGAGGATATTTTTGGCTTAAAGTTTAAAGATTATCCCAGGGCAATAGTTTCAGGGGTTCATCTAGCCTCCATGGCTCCAGAAAGTCTAGAGTCCATGAGAATTTGAAATTCTGCTCTCCATTTTCCCCCTTTTGATCAGGATTCCACTATAGAATCTTTGATCAAAATGTTCAGTAATGGTAGCTGGGCACCATCCAGTTCTTCTGATCTCATGGCAAAGGAGGCAGCTAGCTGTTCATGGAGGCAATTAGCCACACATTCCATTTCGTCCTCCTATTCCTGACTCTCTTTCCTTCTCTACTGCTCCAGGCAAATAGAGACCAACTGTTATGCTTAGATACTGAATTCTTTTTATTTATTTATACTGTACTTTAGATGAAGGTTTACAGAACAAATAGTTTCTCATTAAAGAGTACATGCATTGTTTTATGACACTGGTTAACAATCCCACAACATGTCGACACTCTCCCTTCTTGACCCTAGAGGACCTTTTTTTTTTTTTTGGTGAAAATATACATAGCCAAAGTTACACCATTTCAAAAGTTTCTACATGTACAATTCAGTGACATCAATTACATTCTTCCAGTTGTGCTGCTATTCTCACTATCCTTTTCCAAATTATTCCATCACCATTATCTTCAACTCACTACCCCCTAGGCTTCCCATCAAACCTTTTGAGTTGCTGTTGTCAATTTGATCTCATATAGATGTATTTTTTTTTTCTGTAACTTAGATGAAGGTTTACAGAACAAACAGTTTCTCATTAAACAGTTAGTACACATATTGCCCTATAACAATTGTTAATAACCCCACGACATGTCAACACGGTCCCTTCTCAACCCTGGGTTCACTATCACCAGCTTTCCTGTCCCCTCTTGCCTTCTAGTCCTTGTTTCTGGACTGCTGTGCCTCATTAGTCCTGTTTTGTTTTATGAGGCTGTCCAATCCCCGGACGGTGAACTTCAGGAGTGACTTCACCACTGAGCTAAAAGGGTGTCCGGGGGCCATACTCTTGGGGTTTCTCCAGTTTGTCAGGCCAGTAAATCTGGTCTTTTTTTGTGAGTTAGAATTTTGTTCTACATCCTTTTCCAGCTCTGTCCAGGACCCTCTGTTGTGATCCAGGTCAGAGCAGTCAGTGGTGGTAGCCGGACACCATCTAGCTGTACTGGACTCAGTCTAGTGGATGCCATGGTAGCTATGGTCCATTAGTCCTTTGAACTAATCTTTTCCTTGTATCCTGTTCTCTTCATTCTCCCTTGCTCCCGAAAGGGTGAGACCAGTGGAGTATCTTAGATGGCTGCTCACAGGCTTTTAAGACCCTAGATGCTACTCACCAAGGTAGAATGTAGAACATTGTCTTTATAAATTGTGTTATGCCAGTTGAGCTAGATGTTCCCCAAGACCATGGTCCCCACAGCCCTCCGCCCAGCAATTTAGTCCCTCAGGGAGTCTGGAAGTGTCTATGGAGCTTCCATGACATTTCCTTGTACAAGGTGTGCTGGCTTCCCCAGTACATACTGTTAAAACACTGAATTCTTGATAAATCAAGTTAACAAGGAATGACAGAACAAGGTAAAGGGAAAACAAGAGAAGGCTCCATATTTAAATTTAGCTATTAATTTCAGGCTCTTCTCCACATCAAAACTATTTTTTTTTAAATCAGAAACTGGTTAAAGATGATCCAAATTAAAAAAAAAAAAAAGTCCAACCAACTGACATTAATAGAGAAGCAAAGAAAAATCAAGGGTATTAGGTTATTATTTAACTTTTAATTACAGGTATATTAACCAATGAATGTGTCAAATGATCTTAGACAATGTTAATAAAGAAATAAAGTCTGACAAGACTGCAGGCATGAAATAACTTACCTTTGAGACCAGGGCTCTCTGTGTAGCAAAACAGTGTTGTAGATAAACTGCACTTTGGTTACAGGCCATGCTATGTAGTAGCACTTTTAGCACCCCACCAAGGATGCTCTCTTTGGATTCTGTTACAGAAACTGTCTGTAATTTAAAAACAATAAAATAAAATGGAGACATACCTGCAGTTTGGTTAGGGAGATACAGCACTTATAAACAAATAAATAGAACAAAGATAATATCCAGAAGGACTTCAAGGAGAAGGAACTCAGCAGGATTTAGGTAAGAGAAGAAAAGAGGGAGAGGGGGAAGAATGGATAGGGTTTGAATGTGAGAAAAAGAAGAGCAAGAATACAATGGCAAAAAAGGCATAAAGTGTGTTTTGGGAAAATCTGTAAATGAATTTGGACTGACTCCTGGCTCATGCGGAAAATTACTGGAGGTAAGACATAAAAACTAGAGTGGTGGCTATGGCAGTGACTATCAGTAGTATACCAATAACCATGCTTTCCTTCTTCCTTTAATAATAGAAACCCTGAGTTTCAGCTGGGTAGTTGGTAACCCAACTACAAAAAGGTGTGAACAAAAGAAAAGTATAACTTGGGTCATGTCCTTAGAGGAATGAGCATGTTCTGCCCTTGCTCTTTTTTCCTTCCCACTAACTAAAATGCAGATAGGATGGTCAAAACTTGAGCAACCATCTTGTGTTACGTATTTTGAACTGACTTTTTTGTTTGTTTTCTTTGTAATAGTAGCTTAGGCCTATTCCAAATAAGAGAGTACCAAAATATAAAGAGTCCTGAAAGCCTGACGAGTTTCCCATTTTTTTCCTTTAGGCAATCAAGAAATACTAATTTTTTTATATTTTTTAAATTTTAATCAGTTATGAATGATGAAATATTTTAAGAAGAAAAATCTCCTAGGAACATACAGAACAGATTACGGAGGTAAGAAACATTAAGAGTGAGTATCATGAAGCAGATGGCCATCGTAATAGCTTTGAAATAAGAACCTAACAGTGGAAAGGAACGAAAGGGACAGGTGTGAGACACATTTACTGAAAACTAAGAGATCTCAGTACAGGTATCCCCTGCTTTCAAAATTTCACTTTATGCCACTTCACTTTTACAAAAGACTTACGTTAGTACCTGTTTTCACTAACTGAAAGAAATCCGAAGAGGATTTTCATTTTTATGAAAAAAGACTAAAAGCATAAATAGCACTCAGCCTTTGTTCTGCAGTGAGCAATTAAAGAGGCAGTGTGCACCCCAAACAGCGAGAGTAGTGTTGTCAAGCTCCTTCCCTGGGAACTACTCAGCATCTCATCATCAAGCTGCCATAGCTTTGAAATGTGTCTGTGAGAATCTGTGCTTTATCTCAATTTATTTTGTGCATCCATTAGCAAGACGTGTCCTAAGGTATCAAAAAAGCCTAAGAGGCTCAAAAGGGTGTTATGCTTAGTGTAAAACTAGACATAATTAAGCATTTTGACTGCGGTGAACGAAATAAAGACATTGTGCATGCACTGAACTTGCTTGTGTCCACCATTCATACTATTTATACACAGAGAAAGAATCTCGAAAGCTACGTCAGTTACTATTGGTTCTGCTAGTAGCAAAGTGGTCTCTTTTAGTCAGCATCCAGTAATGGATACAATGGAAGGTCTACTGCTTGAGTGGATCGATGGGTGTACAAAGCATGGTGTCCCGTTAAAGGTAGTGGTTAAGAGCTCAGCTACTCTTAAATGGTTAAGAGCTTGAACTGTTCTTCGACAGTTTGAATCCACCAGCCACTCCTTGGAAATCCTATGGAGCAGTTCTACTCTGCCCTACAGGATCCCTATGAGTTGGAATTGACCTGACAGCAATGGGTTGTTTTCTTGTTTTTGGTTTAGGGGGTTAATCAGATGCCTGATGTCTCCCTCATGGCGGTGTTTACACTCGACCCCTATGTGGCAGGAGAGCCACACCCGTTCTCACTCCTCCAAAGCAATTGAGATGCTGGTACAATGTCTAATTCAAAGGGTTTGTCAGACCGTTTGGCACCCGTTTTACACAGCGGTTTGACCAAGCTCCTCCTTTCAAACTTCTCCACCCTTATTAAACCACTCAGCCACAGTCAAATGCCTAGCGATGTTCAAACGCACCATGCATCGCGAGATCCCATCCTTGACTTGTCCCCTGTACATTTCTCTAACTGTATAGTACAGTTCATATAAATCCAAGTCTTCTGCAGGATTTGAACCCCAGCCCTTCAACCTAGCCCCATGTGCCATTGCCAGCTAGGTTATCAGGGCTGCCATAATCACCACCCACACCTCTCAGCCTTCCAGTATGCTAGCTGTCTTCCCGATTCTGGTAAGTGAAAACTACACTGCACATACATTAGTTCTACTTTATATAGGCTGTGTATTTATCATGCTTTATATTGGCTGTGTATTTAAAATATCATTCCTGCTTTTACTATATGCTAGTGTTATTTTAGGTTTTATGTGTTATTTGGTATGATTTGGTAGGTTACTTTTTGGGTCTGAGAATGCTCAAAAAAATTTTCCATATAAATTAACAGTAATTGCTTTTTGCTTTACACCATTTCAGCTTATGAAAGGTTTCAGAGGAAAACTCTACTTTCGGATAGTCGGGGAAACCCGTAATTGATTTAAATCCTAGTTTTTCTGCTTACTAACTGTGATCAGGGGCAATTATTTAATATCTCTGCACCTCAGTATTCTCATCTACCAGACAGGGATATTAATAGTTTCAACTGCATGAGTTCCATGTAATGATCAAACAATATTTGTAAAGTGCTTAGAACAGTGTCTGACACAAGAAAAACTAAATAGATACTAGTTATCACTCTTTTTGCTGATAGGATAATACTACCTAGATGACTACTGTTAGGATTACTAAATGACATAATTATATATAAAGAGCCTAAAACACTGCTGTGGTATGCAGAAGACAGTGAATAATTCCAGCTCCATCTATATGGCTGTACATGCGTGTTCAGTATAGCATGATGCAGAACATCCAACTATAAACACTCTGTGGACATTTGAAAATGCATAACTAGACTGTTAAGGGAAGATATAGATTTTATAATCATCCACAAAGAATAAACAGTCGAAGTTGTGGGAACAGATTAAATATATAATTATAGTTACAAAATCACAGAATGCTTGGAACTGAACTGTAGGAACTAACTGATGTTTACATAAAATTACATGGCTCAATAAATCCTTTCCCCCAACCCA